CATCACTTGAAACATTTTTCCAAAATGCCAAAGAAATCACCTTGTGCTTCCTGCTCGAGAACTGTAGCAAACACGGTAAATGCCTTCCTATGCTTTGATTGTTGTGCTTTATTTCATATTTCGTGTGTTGGAGTACTTGCTGATCCCTATCTCCTGCGTTCCCTTCAACATGATTTCATCCAAAGTTTGTGCATCGAATGTCGCAGTCTAAGGCAGCCAGAGAAACATTTAACGTCTACCGATGCAGTTCGCGACCAAAAATTTATAACTGTAAGCAATTCTAAACATACCGTCCCGTAAATTGGCCTAGAGTCCATCCAAGCTTCAATCCAGCCTTCCTCCTATTCAACGCGCTTTGACAACTCATTACCTCGTCATCTTAATGCTTCCGGAGACACGACATTAACTGAGGCTGCTGATCCATTGATTTTGAGCTCTGCTAGCTCAAATGACACAGTTGAATGCCCGATGCATGAGGAGCCGTGGAAAACTCAACGACAGAAGAAGCCGCGAAACGAAGAAAAGCTTCCTTCTACTGACCAATAACAGGCCAGATCAAGAAACGCTCGAGTCCATACTTCTCTCGCAGCAACCACTTTGCATGACAAGAAGCGATTAAATCTGCTGCTTTTTCACGTGCCTGAGTGCATCGATCTAAGTCTTCAGGCACACTACGATCATGACTTGTTTTACAGAGCCTGATTGACAGGCTCCTCGGTGTGGATGAAGACGGAGTGAAAGTGAAGCAAATCATCCGTCTTGGCCGAAACACTGCTGGGAAAAACCGCGCTGTGCGAGTAACTTTTGCTGACGAGGCAAGCCCGAAGCTCAAACTGTCTCGGCTGGGTCGATTGAGAGGCGATAGCGCGCATATTCGTCCGGATGTCGATCCAGCTGACCGGGGACGCCTCAGATGTGCTCTCATCGAGATAAAGTGGCGAACTGGTGAGGGAGAAACAAACCTACATATTGTGAATTTTCGGGTAATTACAACAGGATCGCGAATTCGGATAAATCGGTCACACGCACTTCAGGCTCGCCCGGTACTTCTTACCCCAGCCTGCGTGCAGCCTTTACCAGCGTCTGCAGTCTTATGAATAAGCGTGATGGGTTGTGCCAATTCGTTGCTTTCAAGTGACTCGATGTAATGGGACTCACAGAGACGTGGTTGAACGTTGAGGTACTTACTGAGGAACTAGAGCGTAGTGGTTACTCGTACCTCCGCTTTGATTAGCTATCGAATGTCCCCGATAGCGTTTTAGTCTACACCAAACCTTCTCTGTATGGGAGACTTGTGAGCGCCGGCCGAAAAGATATCCTATGTGAACAGTTGTCGTGCTCCATCCATCTTAGTTACGCAGAGAAGCTCGTGGGCGTATTCTATCGCGGTTTCATGCCAGGTCGTTCATGCATCACGATCCCGCTCTTGACGAGGCAGGAATGGATGCAGGCAGTGAACCAGGAAAAATCTGTCGACGTGATCTACCTCGAGTTTAGCAAAACGTGAACCATGAGGCCCTTCTCAAGCTGAGATTGTGCGGTGTTGGTGGATCTGCACAATTGGATCCACGAGTTTCCCGTTAAACGAAAGTGGAGGGTGCAATTCGATAGCCATCTTAATGATTGGTATCGTTGGACCAGTATCTTGCCCAAAAGCACGGTGCGAGGGCCTACATTGTTCCTGCATTATAGCACCGATCTACTTCAGTTTTTTCGGTCACCGTGTACCCTGTTTGCAGACGACCTAAAGATGTGGAGAGTGATAAGCACACCCGACGACTGCGGGCTGCTTCAACAAGACCTAAACCACCTTTCCATGTAGTCTGCAGAAGTTCGCCTCCCCATTCAACCCATCCAAGTCGGTATTCATGAGCCTGGAGAAGGTTGGTGGCGGTCGAACTTGCACCCTCGACGGTTAACTGCCACATGTCACACCTTCTGTGAATGACCTAGGAGTGTTCACTCGTTGCGAGTTGAAGTCCGTGGACAACACGAACACTGAACCTATGGTTTCTTTACAGAACCATAAATCGTCGAATTCGCAGTCTTGAAAATGGTGTTCACATATCTGTAAACAGAAGATATCCAGTACGTAACAAAGAGGTAAAGGTCATGATTCCAAAATTTACTACGAGAATCAGAGAACGTTTCTTCCTAACCCAATACTCAAAAATTTGGAACAAACTTCCAAGTGCTGTCAGAACATGCTATACACTTTACAATTTTAAGCTTGCGATTAGTAAGCATTTGACCGTCCAAAACGTGATTAATACGTTTGGGACATCACAGTCCCTAGATAACGCATTCGAAAACGGTATCCATGGTGCCTGAATAAATTTTCAACACACACACAACATTTCGGACAACAGCCCCTTCCATTACATTTTTTTCTCGGCCCAAACATCTGTCATGTGATTATGAAGAATCCTGATTCAATGACAGGAAAAAATAGCAGAACGATTCAGATTACTCTGTGTTACATAATTCATAATTGCGCCCATGTTTATTTCTTAAAATGTATTAACGCAATGTCATGGAAAGCTTGTACCATTATTTGATCTGTTCCTTTTAGGGAACAGCTTCTCGCATCGTCGAGGAATATACAATTTATTTATTTACCATTATTTGATCTGTTCCTTTTAGGAAACGGCTTCTCGCAACTTCGAGGGATATACAATTTATGTGTTTATTTATTTAGGCTATATCCTAACGCATTGCGCATGTTCTGGGCACTCGTAACTAGTTTCTGCATCTGAGCTGAAGTGATCGCCCCTAAATTCTCCTCATTAATCATCAGACCAATGTTAGACTAGTGCTCGCCCGCCTATTGCCCGACCCCTGTTGAGATGCAGCGTAGAAGATTGAATGGGTTCGACACTTCGTTACCATGTTCATCCCAAGTTTGCGGGGCTTACTGTACGAGAGGCTGGCAATGTATACCCCATGGCCTATAGTCGGTTGCGAGTCGACCTCAACAAAACCATCCGAATTCAACATGTAGGCGACTTCCCCATGATGAGGCCATTGCTCTACTTGTGAACGTCTTGCAGCACACGCGGTCGCCGATACAATCTTGTACTTCCTGATCGGAAGCGAGTTCCCCATCCCCTGTGTTTGGAACGGCGAGTGGTGCTAAATGTCTAAAACAGTTTGCCGTAACATATAGTGGAGGCGAACTCAGTGCCATTATTCAAGCGATCATTGGATGTGTATTTCTCAAATATTAGATTCCGTGAACGATTACCCACAGAAATCTCACATGTTTGAGTCCTAATCCACTGTGAGCTAAACTAATTATTTTAACGATATAACGTGAGAACGTGAAAAATGATCAGCTTATTGACAAGTCACAATTTGCTTTTTTTCAACGTTTTTGATCATATTTCGATGGAGTTGTACAGACTCAAATTTCTGCTTACTCCCACAACCTATTCCTTATTTCTTCTCGAACCGATTTGGCTTGACCGTTTCAACTTTCCGACACTTTAGATGTACAAATCGGTTACACAAGGAGTTTACTCCATGCTTTATAGGAAACCAGCAAGCCACAACAGATGTGGATTGCGGTAGAGACAACCCACTTGGCTCGTGGTTCGAGTCAGGTCTTTGAAATCCGTCTTCCAATAGTTAGAAGCTGCTTAGAGTATGTGGGATAGTTGCAGCGGTAGTCCCATGTTGGCAAGAAGAACTGCGTGGTCGCCGCATACCAGAGGCTCTAGGATACGAAATTCATACATTTCTTGCTCACAGTTTGTTAACAGCAAGTCTAAGCACCATGGAGTTAAGCGCTGTTATGCACGTCGGTTGGCAAATGTGTTGTACCGCCCCAGTTTCAGCTACTATTTCAGCGAACTTTGCTTCGGTCTCCTAATATCTGATGATTAAGTTGAACTTCAGACTCTTGATTCACATGGAATATCTGGTTGCTGCCGAGCACGCGTCCCTCGGAAGTAGCAGTGTCTATCCACAAGCCAGGGTTGCCATCTTTTTTTCTTTACATATTTTCCTTTCAGTTCTCTTTTAAGTAAAGCAGCAAGCAATCCGCATTGTATTCTCACAACCGATGTCAACGGTTTACCTAAGTCATCCCTCAGACTTTGGACTACTTTGTTTTGGTTCCATCGACGTTTACATTTTGTTCCTGCTTGGTCAACACTCTTCACTTTTTGTTCTCTTAAACTCGATCTGCGCGGTATATGAGAAACCCATGCGAGTTAACGACATGGCAATTAACTCTCGACCAGCTGGCTCGTAATTTGTTGATATTGCTTACCTTGTCCGCGTCTGTAGCGAGAACGGGCCGCTAGGATCGATACATTTACGGTGCCTTTGTTGCCTTCCAAAGATATACTAGGGATATTCTAATCAGCTGGAAGCAGCGCATGCTCACCTGCTGTTTTACTTCCAACTTCCACTGAGGCTCATAGACCTCATTTGGACATGCGTGTTTGTTAGATGGACCTCCAAGAAACAAAAACGAGGTCAGTATTACAGTACAAATCTATTCTACATGAGCAAAGGGCAACTTTTATGTTGCACATATATATATATATATATATATAATTATTACATTACTTCATGATTACCGTTTATCACCGCGTCCTTTAAAATCAACTCGGGGTTATCGACGAGATCCATCGGGGTCAACTTGGGGTCACTGGGGCTCACTCGCCACATCAATCAATCAGCCACTGTTACAGTGTCCTCTGTTGTTTCGGTATATGTCTCAACTCGGTAACTGCCGTCGCTTATTTGTATGACGAAGTGTGGTATCTAGTTTTGTTTATGAAGGCTGGACTTTATTTACTTTTTTCCCCACTCGTTTTTACTTTGCGCTTCATCAAGCTTTCCATGTGGTAGCCCTCATCACACTCTCCAAATTATTCCAACATATTTGCCGTTACACCTTGTCACTGCAGTTTCTCCCGCTGTTTGGATTGATATCAATATCCTCCGCTGACCGTATAATTTCTCACACACCTCGTTTGTTTTCTCTTCAGCTGCTCTGTTCACATTTATTGGATTTTGCCAAATGACCATATGGGCATTGAAGAAGTTGAAGGCATATCGCCGCGAGTTCAAAGAATTTCCCCGAAATCGACGTGCTATTGTGCCATATGTTCTCTGAGCGGCCGGCTAAATTCGCATACACTGAACCACCCATTACACTTCTCTTGTCCTGTGTCTGCAAGTAGCTATGACCCATCGGTTACCTTCTCTATCGCTGTTTGTATCTAATCTGCTCCTGTTTCGCTTGATTACGCACTTGGCAGGTGATTCATTATTTTATCCCCAACGCTTTGCGTTCATCGCTGTTTCGCATTCCAGTCGATAAATTTTACCTTATTTTTGAAGGCTGTTGCAATTATCGTCTATCTTACTACGTCCAATGTCATTCGATTCGCCTAGTTGATCACAGATGCTAATTTCAAGCTATTCTTTGCTCCGTGACCGTTACCATCGCTTTTCACAGCAAATTGTGACTTATTTTGTGGAATTGTAATTACCTACCCGTCCGCCTCAGTTCCCACGGGGCGACGACAGACTGGGACGACTGTGACTTTGCAATTTCAACATACGTAAGTAAACTGTATCGTGGACAAAGCGAGGCACCTTATGACGGAATAATTCAGTGATCTACAAGAGCTCCCCTCCGATATTATGTCATACCATATGCTCTTCAAATGCGAACTTAATAAACCCTCATGACGGAACCTGATAGACAGTGACTCACGGCTCCTGTGGTGTCTTCGCACAAATTTCACACACACAGGATTTTGGTGTAAGCCCCATGATTGACATACGTTTAGACTTTTTCCCATAAGATTATGAAGGACTAGTGTGTCATTCCAAACGATACCTGTACATCCGCAATTATCAAAGAAACCTGGCAACATGGCGATGATTAGGGGCGCTGGTTTGAACGTGCTGGAACGCTTCGAATTAGTGCGGTTTGATACGGGCTCGTAACGAAGCCCATCCCTGAGTCAGCATACCGATGAGTCGCTGATGCTTTGTTGTACACTTTTGTCCCTTTATTTTTATTAGCATCACCACGCGTCTTCACTGGTTTCGTCGGTTCCTCCAGTGGGACGCTACTCGGTGAACCTCACATATCACCGACATACGCCGTTGTGTTGCTGTCATTATTCACTCTTTCATTTTACGGCACGGAAATGTTACATTGCACTTATTTATTTTTCCATTCATTCTACGTCGTTCAACTTCTCGTAGGCACACACCCGGATATCCTCGTCTTCCATGGCTTAGTCGCCTGAGCTGCTGGCTATTGGTGCAAGCCACTAGTGGTCTTTGGTTCGATTCTCTAAAGAACACCGGGGAAATGCGCATGATTGAAGAACCCACATCAAACGAAACATCCTCTGGTGCTTTTCTGGGTTGCTAGTTTTCCTATCCGACTCACAACCGAATTGCAATGCATTAAATAAGTGAATATTGTTACTACTATTAATGTTGACACTGCTACTTCCTTACAATCGTATCATCCATCTATTACTATGGTCGATAATCTCCTTTGCGCTCGTTGCGATGCGTGTTTTCATTCTATCTCACACTCAAGAGGCATTCGAACCGTGGGATCTATACCATTTCCCGGCCAAGTTGTCCTCTTGGGCAACAGAAATAATCTGCGGGGGCATTCAACATGAGTCTACTCAATTAATTTGTTCCGTGCGTACGCCAGTCACTTGTGCAGGTGTGCGTGTATAGCCCGTCGCCTTCAACCAATTGGACCTCAGACGCACTAAGTCACAGGGGTGCAGGTGCGACGCTTCAGCTCTTACGCCCGGAACAAATTAATTGAGTAGACTCATGTTGAATGCCCCCTCAGCTTATTTCTGTTGCCCAAGAGGACAACTTGGCCGGGAAATGGTGTAGTCCACTGACCCCACTGAACAGGACTGGACGATGTTGAGTGCGTTTTCTTCCATTACATGACCACGACGCGATGATGAAACTAACGTTTGTGGATTTCTCTTGGCTTATTGGTATGACTTGCCACATGATTCACACGTTGTTGCCACTTGGAACGACCAACACTGACGCGACATCACTCTAGCCAGGAAAGGCGGAGCTTACAATGCAGTCGTCCGTTCAACCCCCATGTACGGTTGCGAAACCTGGCCCACCAAGTCGACGGACGGATGCTAGTCACCTTCGATCATCGCTACCTTCGTAGCTTAGCTCATGTCTGGTGGGAGCATTGCTGGGGCAATGAGGTCGTTATGCCTTGCGTATTTGGTGCTAAAAGAACGACTGAAGCGATCAACACCGTTACGTCACGCACTATGCTCGGATGGCTGAGCCACGTGTTGCGCCTGCCAGCCCAGTGACTCTTGAGACGTGCACTATTTGCGCGCCGCGGGTGCGGTTGGAAAAGGAGGAGGGAAGGCCAAGCGATGACTTAGTCGAGAGGAATGAAGCTCATCGCTTTGAAGTTGGCGTCGGTTAGTGTATCCCGACTGCCTGGCCAGGGTCCCAAGAACGATGAACACGTTTGGTTGGACACACTTGATGATATGGCTAGGAGCCGACTCCAATGGGGTTTATGTTGCGAGTTTCTTTGTCCATCCCCTCCTGTTTAGATTCCCCCTCCAATTATGACTTCATACGAAATGCATTATATGAAATTTAACATTATTTTACTTGCTCCTTGAATTCTCTGTAGTGTAATTTTTTAGTTTCTTTTCTCTTATAGTGCGGCACATTAGCTGAGGTGTGTTTCTCACCGTCAACTAACGTGTGTTGATTGTATTGACACTACCAGAAAACCGTTATTAACGCAGTAGGGAAAACATAACAGAGGTCTCGGCAAGTGGGCATCGAAATCACAAAACCTTCTTTAGAATAAAGCAGTGAATATATCAGCACAGATTCATTTTTTACAGGGTGTATTGACAATAACTTAATAACGAACTGTGGTGGTTAGTTGAAGGCAACAATCACATCAGCGGACACCACATTTAAAGCATACGTTATGCTTAGTGTTCAATGGGGCGATACACGGTGGGTAAACGGTTCGAGAAAGGCAGCGCACCATTTCATAATTTTCATTGCCAGCCCCGACTACGTTGCTATAGGGGGTCAGGAAGCGCAAGATGGCGTCGACACACCTAAACCATGTACAAGTATTGAGCATGGGTTAAAAAGCAACTGTTTAGTAATTCTCGTTGGATGGTTGGAGTGCGTACTGTACCAACGCTACGAAGACTAAACTAAGTACGTCGTAGGAAACCTGCACTAGAAACTATGAACGAATAAACCTAGACTTAACGCACGGTCTGGGCATAAGAATAAAACGTTTTATCCTGTAACCGTGGTTCTATAAAGCATATTAAATACAGTACATGACTTAGGAATAGGTTTTGCAATCCTAGTGCAAGAGGGCAGAAATTGTACAGCGTCAAGGATATGTCAGTGATCGACATGGTAACCGATTGTAGGACCCAGTAAAGCAATTTAAAATGAGCAGACTAATTAGGGAATAGAGACACCGTGTCCTCCTGTAAGCAATCCAGGTTAGGGGAGGGGACGTCAAAGTTCCTTTTTGGACAATGAAGTCGAAATATATGTGAGTCATCTACCGAGATAAATGCGTTGATAAATAACATTAATGTTAATCAAACATCCAGTGTAAGCATACAGAAATACACGGGGTGCAATGATTGTTGATGTAATGTGAAATTTGGTCGCTCATGTGACACATAAATCAGGTAGAAGAGCATGATAAATGTAATCGAAAATAGCGCCGTTTAGGTAACGAAGTGCTGAGAGCTAAGTGCAACATCCAGTCGTTTATTTTTGGTACATATCCAAAACAGAGGAGGATACATCTGCTTTTGGGATAGTTCCAGGGTTGGCAAACCGGAATGGAAAAGTAATTCCGTCGACACTCTAGACGGCTGTATTGTTCCCCTGAGCTGTGTCTTGTGGCTACATTTCAGCAAAAGGGGCATATGTGGTTGGGGTCATTTCATATTTAGTGCAATAATATGAGATTGCCGCGCAGCCTACAGTAGTGTCCGCTGAAGACTCCCAGAAAATTCAGCCTTCGTTGGTATAAGTGATTGTGTAGACCTTTGCCATTTTTTGTTGCCCTATGTTGTGATGCGCTTCAACCAAGATTGCCAAGTTTGGATGACATATTCGACATAAGTGCGTACATAGCAATTGTGCATTATTGGGAAGATAAATGGGTCAAATCTCCCGAATGCTGTTCGCGGTAGACCGACTTGCTGGTTGCCATTTTTCGTAGCTGCTACAGACTGGTTTGAACAGCTCAGGTCGCTCTGTACGAGCAAACCAATGTCACGTTTCTGGGAGCTGGTCTGCAATCTGTGTATAGTCATGTCTTTAGCGTACTTGAACAACGCGACATCTGTCTAGATTGAATGCTAAGGCATTCGTAACTGCCCTGTTCGAAATAGTGTTAAAATCCCACTAGAGCCCTTCGTGGTCGTGTTGTGCTCTGATCGCTCGCCATATCTTGATATCATATGCGAAAAATAGGAAATCGGAACCAATTGATCTCGCTAGATCATTAACGCAAATACACGAGACTCTACCACCGAGCATTGCAGTACACCGCATTTTGCATCACTTGCATTGGACAGAGATTCCCGGACTCTCACCTCCAACTGACGTTCGTGTAGAAAATTTGCTACTCAAAGCCGGATTGGGTCGCCAATGCCGTTGCTCCGAGGCTTTTGACTAAGAATGCGGTCGTCTAAGCGATGAAACACTTTCAGGAAGTCCAGGTAGATGACATCAACTTCTGCAAAATCAACAATTTTTTCAGTCCAGCTACTGTGTGCAAATAGAAGGTTACTAGTAAAGCATTGCTATTGGCGGAAACCGTGTTGGTCTGGGGCTGTTAGGTTGTGACTTTCCAGATGCTGCATCAGCGCTCCTGCGATGATTGATACCATAAATTTGGAACACACATTAAGCAGTGTTATCCGACGATAACTGGTTAGGTCCGTGCGGTTACTTCCCTTAAGAATAATAATGATGATCCCTCGCTTCCATTCTGCTGCAATTTGATTCTCCCTAAAACAGCGCTGATTGCAAAAAATGGCTGCTACCTGTAGAGATTTCGGTCGAATGTTATCTACTCCATGAGAGTTGTAGACACGCAAGGACTACAATTTCTTCTACACCATTGCAGTGAAAATGTTGGATGAACCTGACGGCGGAGTGGTAGAAACGAGATTATTTGGATTCGTCACCCTGGAACGTATGGGAGTAATAAAAAATCGGCTGCTGACTGCGTGCACCCATCAGCCGTGACAAGTGCTGGAATTCCCCCCTTCGTCCTATGAAGGCCCTTAACGTGCTTACATTGGAGGTTGTGGTTCATGCAGAATTGTTTCATTAACTCCTGCGAGTGCGTTGACTTGTCCTCGCGAATCAATTTCACACAGAAGTTACGATGTGCCGCGTATACAGCCAAGGTTTCGACTTTCTAGCAGTCCTTGTGAGCTCGCCATGCCAAATCCCTCAGGGACATACATTTACGTGTTCTGCTCCTCGGAAATGACTTGCTTCTGATTTGACAATTGAAGGATTTCTGTTCCAATGAGTGCGCTAACAGTGTACTGAACGTCTTTGTGAACGTTTCCTATGCGATGTCTGGGGGGGGGGGAAGGTATTCCATTAAGGTTCGTGATGTCTCCTTAGCAAGTGTGGATAACACGTAATGCGTGAGAGTATATACTTCATCCTCCTCCTCTTCGGGATATTCTCCATAGCATAAATAGTCAAACATTAGAGTAACATGGTCGCTGCGGCCGAGTGATGTACTTGTAACTATTCTCTACGGAGCTCCAACCAACCAGCCCTGATAAGCATATTTGGTTCAGAAAAAGTTAACCGATATCGCCCATGAGGTGAAAACCATGCCAATTAATGAAAATGTGCCATTGTAGCGGCTTGGCGAATGCTACACAAGAAAACCGTAGCCCAGTAAGACAGAAGACGGCA